ACATAATGTTTCACTTACATTAATGTATTTTTTTAAACCCAACATGTTAGTAATTGTACGTTGACTGTTTCGTTGATTGCATTCAAAGTTACGTACTGTCTTCCTTAGCTGTCAAATTGGGCCTCTTATATTGTGATGACTATAGATGGGGCTGTAGATCTAGTTTCTCTGATTCCAAATACATTAATAGCAATTTCGGAAAAAAAAATGGACACTGATTTTTTATCACCCTGTATAGTTACACTGCATAGATCAATAGTTAAACATAAAAGGAAGCTGTGTTTGAGCAACCAATAATTACAATGATATCTCCACTAAGGCTATCCCGGGAAGATTATTATATATATTATATTATCAGGACGTCTCGAAAATTTCCGAGTCTCTAAAATTTCCGAGTCTCTAAAAAATATCGAGACTGAGATACTTGAATCACTTAATTTATTAACTAAAATTCTATTATTAAACTAACAGCCATTTTTTATTCTGGTTACATGGACATGGCAACGCTGTACAGTAAAGCTTAGTATAATCTTTTTTTATGTAAAATAGAAGGCAAATAAGCAGACGTGCCACTTGATGGGAGGTGGTCATCGTCGTCTCTGGTGGTCTCGAACATACCCGAGTCTCTAAAGAATATAGAGACTTTGAGATATTTGAGTCACTTAATTAATTAACTAAAAGTCTACTAAAGTAACATCCATTCATTATTCTGGTTACATGGGACATGGCAACGTTGTGGAATGCAGTTTAGTATAATCTTTTCATATGTAAAGTAGAAGGGCAGAAGTGCTACTTAATGTGAGGTGGTCATCATCACTTATGAAGCTACCTTTGCGTTGCCAGCTTTAAGAGCCCTGTTGACACGCTTTTTGAACGACCCCATGTCATAGCGTTAAGCAAACACTTCAGGAGAAATATCATTCCACATCATGTTCGTGGAAGGTACAAACATGATATCAATGATGTGGGGATGGGCTTTACTCCTTTCGCGCGAGGTGGGGCAAACGAGACCATGATACCAATTCGCAAGCTCCTTTGAAGATTCCCCATTATAAAAACGGTAGAACATACACAGAGAGCCAACGTCTCTCCGTAGACTGTGTGGAGAAGAACTTTAGTATCAAAATCGGGTCTTCTTTATCAGAAACTACATTAGCGTAAAGCTTGGTAAGGGCATTTAAGGAAACATGGATATTTCCTTACGTCCACACTATAAAAATGAAAAAAAATCATAAATAATTTTTGGTTTTTATAATTTAAGTTATAAATAACTTGAATAATATATTGTTTCGACTGCCTAAATATCTAGCGTATAAGAATGTAAATGCTCAATTACATATTTATATTTCTAAATATGCAAACATACACTCAAGTTTTGGACACAAAGTTGCAAAAACTTGCACAAGAAAGTAGGACCGGTAAGTTCACAGTTTTCAAAAGTTAATACCAAGAGTTTAGGCTGAGGCCCGACGCCCACTGACGGGATGGTAAGGCAGGGAATCCTTCGGCATCCCTAAATGCAAGCGCACATTGATGGCAATTATGCCGCGGTATCCCTAGGTACGACGCGGCATCTTCAACCCAACCTAAGCGTCCTTAGGCATGCGGAAGCATCCCGAAGGCTGCCGAAGCATCCCCAAGGATGCCGAAGCATCCACAAGGCTGCCGAAGCATCCCCAAGGCTGCCGAGGCATTCCCGATGCTGCCGACTCATCATCCCTAGGCACACCGCAGCTTTATTTTGCAGCTACGACCATTACCTATGGAGTTTGCCATAACTTTAAGGTATACTAGGGTATAATAGGTTTAAGGTAAAATTACTATACGTCACCTGAAAGTCCCTTGCCGTCCCGTCCCGTCGGTGGAGGCCTTAATAGAACGTATTAATCGGATAATCTCATTTAACCACCAGCCAAGCTTTCTCTAAAGAAAAACAAATCGGCCGAAGCAATTGCCAACAATCAAACAAAAGCCGGTCGGTCGCAAAGACTGTTTATAACATTTTCATAGTCCAAACTAATATTATAAATGCGAAAGTCGCTCTTACGTTTTCACGTCTGAACCGCTGAACCCATTTTGATGAATTTTTGTATAGAAATATAAGGGACCTAGGAGAAAGACATAGGTTACATGTCACAAAAATAAATCTTAAAGGGGGTGAAATAGTGGATGAAAGTTTGTATGGAGATCCAATAAAAATATGAAAATTAGTACAGTACAGTAGGCTACACGAAGTACTTATTCTACGCAGACGAAGTCGCGGGCACCAGCTAGTACTAAATATAAACTATCATAGTTCATGACAATTCCTTTTCTCGATGCATTATTAAATTGATTTCCTTTAAATTACATTATTTCTTTGGTTATAAAGAATTATAGCTTAAACGTATTTTTTTTTAAACTACAAGAACGTACCCAGTAAACTCTTTATAACGATCCAAATTTCGTTCCTTCACTCTCTAAGGGTGTCATCACATTTAACGGACTCGCTTTAAGCCGGTCAGAAAAAAAATGTCAAAGAATGTCTTTTTTGCTCTTATCGCATGGACATAAAAGTTTTTTGTGACCGGCTCAAATCAGATTCCACGTTAATGATTGTGATGACTCTTTAACAGTTACCGATTGACAATAAATGTTAAGTTATATTTAAATGTTAAGTCCTGTCTCCAAAGCCGTGTTGGCGTAAGTATAAAACCCACATAAGTACCAGGCTTCAATAGCATATCACGATCCGTATTAATTTAGCTCTTAAGTGCATGTCTGTAGAGATGTTCAGCTCGCGAGATCATAAGTTCTCCTATATTGATATTGCTCAATTGAGTGATTAAGACTCAATAACGATCCAGAGCCTCAGGTTAATAAATCACAGTATACTCGTAATCGACGAATATTTGTTGAGATGCACTTAATATTTATTAATAAAGACAGTTTAATCACGTAAGATCTTAATATCGACGGGCCCAAGGTAAAAACTTCGTAATTCTGCACCTGATGAATTTGTTCCTAACAAATATAAGAGAAAACGATGGAAACAAATTAACCTGTGTATTTACGTCGTAAATGAAATTTTAGCCAGAAAACTTGAGAAAGCTATACGAGGTTATATGCAAAATACTAACAACCTCGCAGAACTGTAGTACTAACATCATCAACAACTTTTGTTCCTGTATATATTTTTTTATTCTTGTAAAAATAAATTTAAATATACGATATACACGTTTTTTTATTGTTTAAGACTGAAGACCTTTATGTGTTACAGTGTATACATTTTGAAAAATACGGACAGCGATATAAAATTGCGTGTATAGCTATCTTTGTCGTTTAATCATCGCAGAGAAAACTATGATACAAAAAATGTCTTGTCTCGTGAGACATTTTTTTTTAACGAGAGTGCATCTCGTTAGTCACGCTCAATTTTTATGTTGATAAAATTACTGTGCAAAAATTTTTATAATGAACTATGACCTTGCAGCCATGTTTGGCACTATGTTAATTTTTTGCAGTCATTGGTCGCCGGCGCTCGCGATGATATAAAAATGTGCCGTTTGCTATTATGATAAAATTTTAAAATGTCGTAGTATAGCGTCTGGCACGGTAAGCTAGAAGACGTCGGTTCGAATCCGGCCGGATCGAAGGAATTTTTTCTGAGTGTTCGATCTTTGTATTAATAATTATAACAAACTAGTGGAGCAATTTCACAAAAATAATTGAATATCAATTCAATAAAAATTTAAAATATTTATAAATATGTTTCAATTTCTCCCACAAATATTCTATGGTCACGCTTATGGAATAAGGAGTCGAACGTCATTCATTTGGACATTCATTTGGATCATCCTCGACCCATTATTCATCTAATACAGTACAGAGCACAAGTTCATTTAAATTGTCAGTTCATACATAATACAATGTATTTTAGAACAATGTTTATGAAAAATACAAAGAGGGGACATATTTTAAAGTTTTTCATTTCAATTCAATAAGGCTAATCAAATCCGGCTATTCCTGTTAAAATGTGCATGAATAAAAACTGATGTCGTTACTAGTAGGCCAACTGTCAAATAAGAAGGCAATAACGCAATTAGTAATGATTAGAAAGTCATAACTTTCACAATTGATAAAATTTTATCGTCTTTCGCAATCTACAACAACTACATAACCATTTAAAATTTTACTAAAACTTGTAACCCAACAAATGTAATTTTACTTCATCTTCAAAAAAGACTAGTTATTTTTTAAAAATGTGTAAAAACGTGCACGTGCACGATGGGCCCGTCAATATCAATCCTGCGCTTGCAATTTACTAATACGATCTTACAAATAAAATATTATTTAATTAAGTTTGTAGCTACATGATATCATAGGAAATGACTTAACAAACTTTTTCAAATTTTTGAAAAAATTCAAATGGACGTTAATAAATTAACTTTAAGCGCATGACGCGTTAAAACGTCAAAAGTAAATAAACAATCACACGAATACAATATCTCAAAACATTCAAACAATAACAACATAAATAAAAATCAACAAGTGGGTCATTCATATTAAGACTTAATATTTTAAGTAGCAAGTGCCTCATTTCGTCGTCGCCGGCAACTTGGCAAAACGCGTGCCTATTATTATGGACTATTTTAGCTTTATCTACCAGAGGACCTTACCAAGTAATACATATACATAGAGAGATAATTCCTCGTATTGTATTTTATTCTATTTTATTTAGTACGTCACTAGCAATTACTCTGCAACGTTACATAGAACAAAATATCTGTAAATTTAAGTAAAAGCCAGCAAAACAAAATATAACTTCGTTTTATTTCGATTTGCTGCTTTTTATTTTTAATAATTCCCGGATTTCAGACGGTACAACACTATGTATTTCTCACCGTATAAGTCTACTACGATCGCTGAGAATAAGCACATGCATATAGTTTTTTTTATATTGATAAATTTGATCAAAATTTAATGTAGGTAAGGAAATCTGGTCCGCTCCTTTGTAATAATATAGACATTTTTAAAGCCGTTGACGCCTTGGCCGCTGTCCTACCTGCCGTCGCGTCGTTGCTGTACCTCGAATAAAATTCTTTTGGAATCGATTTCGTTGTCGCTGACCTCGCTACGCAGATCGTCTTCAAGGAGCGGTTCGGAATGCTCTTTACGGTCAGTCTGTGCTAATCGATTTTGACTCATCGACTCAAAGTAATCAGAGTCGATGGCGGCGACCGTACCGGTGACCGATTTGATGAACAAAAGTTTGTGTACGACGTGCCCCGCAATGCCGAGCAGGCACAGTGGCAGCCCGATGAGGTTGATCGAGCTCAGCTGGTCACCACCCACCTCTATAGCGAGAACTAGGATACACATTTCCTGTGAACAAAGATTTATTTGTCAAGATAATATTCAAAGATTGACAGAAAATAGTCAGTCTATAATCTAAAAACTAAAAAATGAAATAAAGAAAGACTCCCAATTTAAAGGTAAAATAAGTACAGTTTGTGTATTTATTTGTGCGGCGGTGTATGCGTGTATCCGCGTGTGCATTTCATTAACATCATCAATCCTTCAGTGTTTTTCGCTCAGATGTCCATGCATGGGAATAAAACTTTTTCTGACCGGCCGATTTCACCCAGTGTGGTGGTCCCCTTACCAAGATTTGTTATGCGAAGCTGTTTAAATAAATCAAACATTCTCCAAAGTTTACGTTTTTATTAAATACTACCAACATCATAAACAAGAATTATTAGTAGCAGCAGATCTCTTTGTAACAAAGTTCGTCCAGGGATGTACTGCCACCTTACTATTTCTGCCGCCAAGCAGTAATGTCAGCATTACTGTGTTCCGCTTTTGAAGGGTAAGGGTGCTGGTGAAATTACAGGCACATGGGACTTGTCAACTTATGTCTCAGGGTGACCTGCGCAGTGGTAGTGCCCCACTCAGGTCTTTGCAATTTAAAGCTCTGGCGCACGACTTGTGCGTTCCGTCACATGATATTAGAAAAAAAAAAATCATTTTAAGACTGACTGAACAAGCCCATATCTTATTACTGCTTAAGTTTTGTTTATAGTTCCCCTTCCTGGCAACCTCATAATTATACGGGAAAGGCATTATGACCTGTGCAAGCAGGCCTTCACAGTGACCTTATCAGTCAGATCCTGACCCCACGGATTCTCATAAAGCTAGTGCATTGGGTGAGCGACCACGAGTGCACATAGGGCACCGTCCCTATTATATATCTCAAGGTAAATCAGGCGTACGTCTAGTCCGTCCCGTCACTTGATGTTATTAAATAAAAACTTTTGTTCCATGACTTTTTACAAAACATAATAAATTTACCAAAAATAAACTTCGAAGTTTGTTGTACTATTTGACACTTTTTATGTCTGTATTTGTTAGTAAGGTAAGTTCAAACGTGCAAGCGTCCTCTGCGACGACGCCCACCTGTCCTGCACAAAGTTATATTACCTTTTAGAGCGATCTGTTTAAATATATTTATTTTTTTATGGAAATAAAGTCTGATGGATGATAAATAAAAATAAAATAAAATGCTTCTTTATTCAGGTATACACTCATTAATAAATTTAACATTACTTATTACATTACATAACAATTAAATTGAATTTTATTAACCGAATATTATTATTATTAATGAATCAAATAATTAAGAATTGCATAAAATTGAATTTACATTCCTCTAAGGTCGGGGCCGATTCTAGTTTATCTATGAATTAAATAAAAACTACGGTTGCGTGAGAAAAGTTTTTATTTGCCGCCATTTCGCCAGTCGTAACATGCGTATCTTGAACACATCATAGAGAGTTTATATTATGTGTATAGATAAAGCAGTGTACGCACATAATTAGGCATTAAAACACTCGTGTGATAATACTTTTCATTATGTAACAATCGCATAAACTAGTATTAAAACAATTAGAAACATTTGAAAATATTTTTTTTTCATTGTGTTATCCGCACTTGTTACACCAAACCGGGCCAAAAATGAAAGGGGCGTTCGTTTTATTATTGGTGTTTAAGGAAATAAATTGTGGATCAGTCTTATTTAAAAGTTACATTGAAAATAATTTAAACGTATCTTTAATCATTCATTAAATTCGCTAAATTGAAATGAATCTAGGACATGAAACTAATTTTCCGGATTTAAATCGCGTATATTTGTTTTTTCAAACAAACCGACGTTTCGGGCCCTTTACAGGATTTAAATTAATTTAATTTTACGGGATTTAAATCCGGAAAAATAGTTTTATTTCCTATGTGTAACAATCGCGAAAATCTAAGAACTCGATTTGAAATGAATCGACAAATTCGCCTTCAGCAGGTCTCACTGGCCTCCTAGATGCTCCATGTTGAGGATGAAGTTGAGCGTTTCAGACATTTTTTTACATTTAAATAAGTTTTTACAAACTGCCGAAATTCAAAAGCACATTTATAATCCATGCAACGAGGGCGGTGGCGGTGTGTCACCTTTTAAATGAATGAAACTTACGCCATCTAGAAGGGAGATTGAAATGAGTTTTTGTCACAAGGTACTAGACAGTGTTTCACATGTTTAGATGCAATAACTTTGGGTGTCGAACGCCCTTGTTGCTTCCAATAATGCTTCAATTCGCAAAGCAGTCGCAAAATTCAACCGGAATAACACTTATGTACGTTAACCGTTGACTTACAAATAAATGGACGACGGGGTCTAATACAAAAACCACGAAAAAAATGTCCCAAGTCAACCTATTTAAACGTAGTGACGAATTTAAATTGTAATGTCATCGCAGTACTGTCTAATTTTGCTTACTTCGCTGTCAGTCAAACAAACGAAGACTAAAGCGTGAATGACGCTCTGTATACGATTTTAACGCCCTATAAGTTCGGACACTTTTTAGCGCGGAGCCGACGTCCACATAATTGTAAGTCAATGACGTTAACCAACTGATAGTTTCGCATTCGTGTTCACAAACTGTGTTTTTTTTAACTGACTTCAAGAAAAAGAAGGAGATTCTCAATTCTAATGCATTTTTTTTGTGTAAGTTATGCATTTACTCCGACATTAGTAAACCGATTTCGATGATTCTTTTTTTGTTGGCAAGGGGGCACCTGAGTAGTGGTCGCATTCAAATTTGAAGAAACTATTCCACCTCTATGCGTGGCAAATTAGGGGATGTACCCGGTTATTGGATTTGACCTACTTTCCGATAACCGATATCAATAAAACTTGGCAAATAGATGTAATTTCGACAAACATTTGAGGTCGGCTTATTTTTATTAATAGTTCTAATTATGTTTAACTGCTTATAATAAATGGAATGCAATCTACTAATAAAAACCTGTCAAAATATTTAAAATTGAATGTAAACACGAAATAGCAAGAGAAATGAAATCTTACATAACTAGAAAACAGTAAACACAACGCAGTTTCTTTCACGAACATTCGAATAACGGATAAAAATGCCAAATCTTTTTACAACTCACAAGCCCCTTGTAAAGGGTCCAGAGCACGTCAAGCTTTACACTTAAGATTTAAATCCAACCCTATGCCGCTTGCGATAAGAACTGTCCAAAGTACAAAGTGTCAAGCTTGATGAGCTCTTAACAGTACCACCGCTTGTTTTTAATTAATAATAATAATAACGCATACGAATACGAATAACGAAACCCTGTGTCGCGGGTGCCATGGACACACACATAGACAACCACAAATTACACCCACACTCACGAGAGAAATAATCGAACCTGGGACCTCTGCGTGGCAGTCCGGCATGGTAACCGTTCGGCCACGAAGGCAGTTAATATATAATTATTTTGTATTTCTATTATATTTGATAATTGTTTTGTATTTCTCTCTATTTTGATATATAATAAATAATTTTTGAATTGTATAGTATGTCAACGTTCCGCTGAAATGGAATACTCACCTTAAAAATACCAGCTATTGACAGCGTGAGACTAGATGTGTAAGTGACGACTAGGAACTCGCTAATCTCCATGGCGAAGGCAATGGTGGCGCCAACAGACACCTTCAGTATCGTGGGCACCAGCTCCTCAGGAGGCAACGATATCAGGTGGGTGAAACAGTCCACTCCTGTCGAATTTCGCCCAAGTTAAGCACATAGAAATAACATTAACCAATCAGTCTTTGAAACAGATTTAGCACCATTCTCATAATTAAAACTAACTTACAACTAATTGTGCGCTGGGCTCAGTATTGCTATATGAATTTTAAAATCGTCCAAAAGTATAACACTTATTATTTACGGCAGCTGAGAATGGTGCTAAGTACCGAAGAAAAAATGCTTAAGCACGATAGTTCGGTCGTATTGGTCCAGGACGCTCCGGACTCGCCACGTAACTGATGTTTCGCTCTGTATAAGAAATGACCCACACTTGGCCGAACCACACCGCGCTCATACAAAGCGTCTAACGTAGCGCGTATCAACACTGTGTGGATTTTTTTTTTCTTCCAGCCAAATGTGGCCCAATCCTCCGAAGCATCAGTAACATTGGCTTACCAGGTTCGCGGCCAAAGCAAGCGAACTATCGTGCCTTGTTATGTTCCCAGCGGCGTAGGACCCGCTCGTACGATCACAGGAGTCGCGCGAACCAGGTGGCGGCACATCTACTGGATTACACTTTTTAAACGTTTAAAGAAACGAGGTTCTCTATTCGACTGCATTTTTTTGTGTCTGTTACGCGATTATTTGTCAACCGATTTTGATGATTCTTTTTTTATGCAAAGAGGGTGGGTACCTCAGTATTGGTCCCATTTAAATTTGAAGACAATATTCTACCTCTAAGGGTGGTAAACTAGGGGATGAATCCGGTTTCGCGCACTTTCCGGTAACTGATTTCAATAAAACTTGGAAAATAGTTGTAATACCACGAACTTTTGAGGACGCTTTTAAAAAAAAAGTTATAATTATTATCACAACAAAAAAGCGTTCAGCTTCCCGCTGGAAGTGAATTACGGTTGAATCAAGTTTCGACAAATACACGCGCTAGATTAGCCGTGGCGATCTTTTTGATTATCCCACGATACTTGCCGCCCCCATCGCCGACGGCCCTGCACTGTACTTGGCTGCCGCCGCAACCTCACTTAAGAACCGAAAGAGGATGCTCGCCGTGTATACTTGAAGCCCGTCCCATTTTTACCCCGCCTCCTTTCAGTCCGCACATGCGCTTTCCTATAGTATGAATCTTATTTAGACGTCCAAAATGTAAACAACGAAATGTCATGAAATGTCATTAACAGTGTGAATGCAGATGTGATAAACCTTCTGTTTTTGGAAAAGGAGGAAGTTCTCATTTTCTAAAATTTTAATTATCTATTACAACATATTAACAATAAACAAAGACTTTAACAACAACACACAATAATTTAATAAACGCTCCATGGAGACAAAAAACATTCGAGTTCGAGAAACGAATCACGAATGACATCTATGATACGACAAAATGGCGGCACAAAAAATGTTTTTGATCCCGATTGTGTCATAAAATTATTTGCGACCTTAAACATAGTCTATTAGTAATTATTGTATAAAACGAAATTAAGTAAAAATATATATTGTAAAACGTATAGAATAGTTCTAAGTTTTATCAGGTTATGTCGTAACGTTTATTTATCGTCGGACGACTATCGCGTCTAACCTGTTCCCATATCACGACGGCGTGGCGGCGCGTGGGGTTTATTTTATTATTGAAGAACTGTCGCGTCTAGCTGTTCTCACTAGATCGTGACGACAATTTTACGGTTCACGGCAGCCGCCTCGACAAAATCGATTGAAGTGACGTTTTATTTATCGTCAGACGACTGTCATTCTAGCTTTTCACATTGTCACCACCGCCTGTCGTCGTGACGTCAAGAAAATAGTCGTCACGACATAATGGCAACGCGCCCTTATAGCTTGAAAATAGTTTACTGTCGTCAAAAATAGGAAACTACTACTTAAAATGTAGTGTTTTTCTACACAACTAATTTTGATTCATACTATAATTTCAACATTGACTTACAATTATATGGACGTCGGGTCCGCGCTAAAAAGTGTCCGCACTTGTAAGGCGCTAAAATCGTATACAGAGCGCGACACTCCGCTTTAGTCTTCATTTGTTCTACTGACAGCGCGATACTGCGATGACATTACAATTTAAATTTCGAATAGGTTGACTTGGGACATTTTTTTCGTGGGTTTTGTATTAGACCCGTCGTCCATTTATTTGTAAGTCAATGAATTTCAATTATAAAAAGTATCTCAAATATAATGGCATATTTCATGGAAAATTATCTAGGTCTCCCCTGGAGTGCGGATAATGTTCTTATAAACATATGATCAACAAAGCTGCCCCATTCATACTCGAAATATAGGACAAACGAAACACTTAAAGAATGGGTAATACGGTAAACAGGAAACAAATAAATGTATCACGGTCTGTATATACCAAGATATATATAATTATTTGGGAACATTTTTAATGTAAATAGCGAGCAGTAGAGTTCCTTGTGAAAGAGTTCATCCAGGGAAAAACTGCCACTATGTATGCCGCCAAGGGGTAGTGTGACCATTACTGCGTTCCGCTTTTGAAGGGTAAGGGTGCTGGTGAAATTACAGGCACATGGGACTTGTCAGCTTATGTATCAGGGTGACGGGCGCAGTGGCGGTGCCCTTCAGACCTTTACGATATAAAGCTCTGACTGGCACTGCAACTGTTATGAACAGACGTTTCGTTCCATATAATTAAGTTGATCTAAAAAAAATTCTAATTCTAAATCCTCAATTTTACTACCTATATATTTTTTCCAAATTGATTTATTCAACACTTTCACTGTTACGCGGTTTCAACCAAAGCCATTTGAGGTAGTATAGACTTCTTGCGCTAATTTTTCTTCGCAACTAAAAGAAATCCTGGTCCAAAATATGCATTATGTTAACTTGAATAAAAATATTTTGAATTTGATATTTATTACGAATGTTGAAAGTGGAATAAATAATAAAATGCAAAACTGTTTTGACCGTAATTATACATTTATCTATGTCATCCTGACGAATCGCCAGTCGCTCATTTAGTGCAACATTGACTTAATTGCAATTTTGGCATAATTGAATTAAGACTTAATTAATTACATATTAACATCCTTTATCCAAATTTGCCAAAATTACAATTACATCAATGTAGCACCAAATAAGCGGGTTGTCAAATGAAACTGGACAATGGAAAAAAAATCCCATTGGCCAGACCTGTCTGACCATCGGGAAACACTGTCGCTTACCACCACAGGCACGACATGTTCGTCTCGCCACTTGGTATCATAAAAAAGTGCAATTGGTATAAGTGAATTATTTAGTTTTTAACCGACTTCAAAAAAGGAGGAGGTTCTCAATTCGACTGAGTTTTTTTGTATGTATGTTACGCGATAATACCGCTATTTGTGAACCAATTTTCATGATTCTTTTTTTGTTGGAAAGGGTACCTCCATAGTGGTCCCATTTATTTTTGAAGAAAATCATCCACCTCTAAGGGTGGCTGTTCACGCATGAAGATTCGTTTTTATAAATAGCGCCTATATTTTAGTATAATGAGCAATTCTTTTAATGGTTGATTTTGCTATTTTTTAATTCAAGGCGTTTTTCTCTCAATATACTTTTGAGTAGTGAGAACCGATTTTTATTATCTCCTGTGTCAAGTCCTGTATATTGGCGAACTAGGGGATGAATCCGGAAGAATAAAACTTGCTAATTATATGTAATTCTACGTACGTTTGAGGTCGGTTTTTACTAAAAAACCGACCTCAACCGACTCTGTACTGAGATTATTATATTAATGTATATTAATCGTTAAGGTATGCATTATATGGGTCATTATCTCAGGTTCGTTTGCCTTCATTACATCCGCTATCTACAAAATAGTGTTTAGCCTTTTAGAAGTTTCTCGAGAGAGTTCTGCGAATGTGGCCGAGTTGAGTTGACAATTGTCAAGTAAGTAATCGATTTTTTTTTATTAAGAGTTTTGGCTTGGATACAAGTCCTTTGAGCCACGTTTTCGTTTAATTATCAGGATCCTCAATAAGCATTTTCAATTTTTCACTTTCTCTTAAATAATTTAGTTCTCTTGTTTGGTTTTTTTAAATAGTCTTATATTTATGTTTTCACTTTCTTTTATATTACATTATCGGCACTTTGAACAAAAGCTTTGAATTCGTAGTTATTAGAATATTCAGGATAAACTCTTTCGTAATTTGGTTCAAAATAAGGAATATAGTTTAAGTATCGTTGTCACTATTTCTTTCTTCGTATTTTCTGCATAACATACTTAAAATAAAATTAATCGTTGTAAAAACTGTACTTGTAACTTCAAAAGCCCGCCAGTAAGTAAGTAATAGATTTTTTTTTTTATTAAGGCTTTGGCAAAGCCATCAGCCTAAACATGAACTTTAATTATGTTTCTGTAAAAATGGCCGCCACAAAGAGGATAGGCAATTTGAGGCGGCGTGCTTGGATTGACTCGGGATTCCTTAAAACGGGCCGATACGGGTATTTTAGTTCGAGATTCGTATAATTTCGCGTTTTAATCTTCGATTAAGGCACAATAGCACTATCCTATTCCACTTTAAAATAGAATTCACAAAATAATTGAAAGTCAAAATAAAAACGACACTTTTCCCTCCAAAAGGTCCAGAGCGAATCCTAAGTAATAGAGGAGGTAAACCACCTGTTGCGTAGAATTGTCTTTATTGCCAACCCACAAAAAACAGAAGTGGTATTAATTAGTAGCCATTCTTTATCTCTCTGTGACTCCTTACCTTTTGTACTAATAAAAAAGAAGAAAAAGCAAATCGTTTCTTTCGTAAACATGTACAATTTTTTTTACCACTTCAAACAGGAGGTTCTCTATTCGACTGCATTTTTTTTGTGTGTGATACGCGACTACCCCGACATTCGTGAACCGATTTCGATGATTCTTTTTTTTTTTTTTTGTTGGAAAGTGGGTATCCCAGTAGGTCCCATACAAATTTGAAAAAATTATGCCACCTCTAAGGGGAGCAAGTTATATTAAATCATATGTTATGGTGACCTAGATCTGATCTGA